ATGTGTGGGAGGGACTTCCTTCACCCGCGCTGCTTTTATTTTATTTTCCTAATTTTAGTTTCCTTTGGAGTTGAACAGCTGGGCTGAATGAGGTTTAAGTTTTCCCACCCCCATGACAGGAGAGAGGATCAGAAGATTTTATGAAACGTGATAGAGAGGAATTGGGGAACACAGGCAGGGCATGCAGTCAGAAGTTTCAGACAAATACACAGACTCCTGTGGCAACCGGGATCTTTATTTTATCGGCACACTTTGATAAGGCTGCATTAAAATACTGATTGTATTTTTATTTTTGTTTCTGCCTCAGGGACCCATGGTAAACAGGAGTATCCTCTGTTTCTAACCCAGAGAATAATGTTCAAATTGCTTTGTGGATTTTTCTTCCTCGAATAATTTTCTATTAAAAACACTTTTCTTGTCTCAGTAGAAAAGTCCAGCAGTTGCACAATCTCTTTCTCTCTCTTTCTTTTGGAGAAATCAAAGAAAACAGACTGTCAAGAAAAAGGTGGGGAAAGGTGTCATGTTTAGAGCTGGGGGCTAGACTTGGGCCAAATGGTCGGAGCACCAGGCTGCCCTCGGCCTGGGAAACAAACAATCCTGCTCGTTTGGAGGCTCCTGGGAGGCCGCTAGTTGCAGGGCCCCAGGCCTGGTTGAGCAGAGAGTGACCTGGAGGTGGTTGTACCTGCAGCAGGGCTGTGGGTGGACGAAGTTTATAGGTCACTCTGTTGTCCTCTTTGTGCAGGACTCCGGGAGGAGAGAGAACCTCCCAAAGCTTCCCCTGAACTTGCTTCTGCCAGTCTCTGCTCTGCTGTCCTGCCGGCTAGGAGATGGACAGAGAGGGAGGCAGAGCAGCCTTTGGGCTCAAAGGAAGTTCTTCACCCCGCTTTTATTTTGCAGTCTGCCAGTGCCCCCTGGGCAGAGCCACCCTATCCCGGAGTTGGGAGAGGTTAGCAGAGTGCCTTTGAGAGGCAGGGCTTGGGCACCGTGGGCAGTGGCTGAGCAGTGGCCGGGCTGTGCTCCTAAGCAAGCCCCAGAGGAGTAGACAACTTATTTTTTAAGTGGAAATGAAAACTGGTGGGCATTTTTCTTTAAAATCAAAACATTTATTTAGATAGGAAAACTCCCATTTCGGCCCAGAGGCATGGCCTCCGTAACTGTTCCGGAGATGTTGGGGAGGGGAGAAGGAAAAAAACACTATTGATGTCAGTTCCCTTTTCAGTTCTTAAGATGGATTCGAGTCCCGGTCCTCTTCTCCCCTCCCTTGTGTCTCTTCTCTCGCCCCACAGGTCAACCGCTCCGAACAGACCCGGGAGGAGGGGGGCAGAAAGGGGAGGGGGGGTCCGGCGTGTCACGTGACCCCCAGGGGTGCCAATGTCCGGTCGTGAGGGTACCAGGCCCTTGCGAGTTGCCACCTACTGCCCGGGCCTCGCCCAGCGATGCAGAAAGCCACCTACTACGACAACACCGCGGCTGCCCTCTTCGGAGGCTACACCTCGTACCCCGGCAGCAATGGCTTCGGCTACGACGGCCCGCCCCAGCCCCCCTTCCAGGCCGCCACGCACCTGGAGGGTGACTACCAGCGCTCAGCGTGCTCACTACAGTCCCTGGGCAACGCCGCCCCTCTTGCCAAGAGCAAGGAGCTCAACGGCAGCTGCATGAGGCCCGGCCTGGCCCCCGAGCCCCTGCCCGCCCCACCCGGCTCACCCCCGCCCAGCGCCGCACCCACCAGTACCACTAGCAACAGCAGTAACGGGGGCACGCCCGGCAAAAGCGGGGCCCCCAAGTGCGGGCCCGGCTCCAACGCCACCCTCACCAAACAGATATTCCCCTGGATGAAAGAGTCGAGGCAGACGTCCAAGCTGAAAAGCAGCTCCCCCGGCACAGGTACCAGCTCTCTGCCTTCCTGTCACCAGCTTTTGTCCCGGGCCAGGAATGCCACTGTTATTCTAGCACCCAGCCCCTCGGCGCCCTCCAGGCGGCCCCGGGGACAATCTTCAGTGGCAGCCAAGCGTAGTTTTGTTGCTCTCACCACCTGATGACCCCTGACCTTGCCAAGACCCTGTCTCTGAGGCCACCTGGGTTTCTGAGCGCTAAGACAGAACCTCTCCCCAGGCTGCCAAGCCGAGAGGCGCTGCTGCCAGGAATCCTCAACGATGATTATTAAGTATGATTATTGTGGGTATTAATCACCATCGCCCTGATGGCCAGGGTCCGGCCTGCAGGCACAGCGGTCTCGCAGTCCCACACTTACAGGCCCTGCCCGTCTGTCCAGTGACCCTCCAGGCTTCTCCTTGGTCCCCCATCCTGTCTCTGTAGAATGGGGACGAGGATGTCTTTTCCAGACCTAGAATTGGGAAGGAGAAAATACGCAGGAAAAAAAAAAAATCCAGTCCTAAATAAATGGCCATGCAGCTCTGTCTGCGTGACATGATCAAATTTTCATAAGCTGGGGCAGTGAGAGGAGAACAGGTCTCTTAATAAATGCCACTATTATAGAGTGTCCGCTAATGCGACGGGCGGTGGGGAGGGGTAGGAGGAGGCGGGGACGTGCAGAGGAGGGCGCCGGGGCTCGGAGTCCAGGCCTGGATTTATTAAGAAACGATGCATTCAATTTCGGCGTGTTCAGTAATTATCTTTTATTTCATTTTCTCCCCTTCCCACCCCTCCCCCTCGGATCCAGCAGAGGGCTGTGGCGGCGGCGGCGCAGGAGGCGGAGGAGGCAGCGGCGGCGGCGG